CACCATGGCGCTGGGCTACTGGCGCGCGGGCCGGGCGCGCGACCACGCCGAGTTCGAGCTCTTCTTCCGCCGCTGCCCGTTCGGCGGCGCTTTCGCCCTGGCCGCCGGCCTGCGGGACTGTCTGCGCTTCCTGCGCACCTTCTGCCTGCGGGACGCGGGTGCGGTGCGGCCTGCTCCGGGAGACCCCGCCCAACCCGGGAGACCACGCCCCGGGAGACCCTGCCCAGCCCAGGGAGGCCCCGCCCCGGGGGACCCTGCCCAGCCCAGGGAGGCCCCGCCCCGGGGGACCCTGCCCAGCCCAGGGAGGCCCCGCCCCGGGGGACCCTGCCCAGCCCAGGGAGGCCCCGCCCCGGGGGACCCTGCCCAACCCAGGGAGGCCCCGTCCCGGGGGAGATCCCTGACATCCCCGGAACTCACTCCCGTGAGACCCTTGTGACCCTGGGGACGTTCCCACGGACTCGGGCCCGAGTCCCACACGATGATCCACTCCGGGCTGGTCCCCAACATGCTCCCAGTCCAGGGCGACCCCGGACCCTGGGGGCCCCGCTTTCCAAATTTCACTGGTGCCTTGTTGTCCCCAGATGTGCAGTTCCTGGCATCTGTGCTGCCCCCAGATACTGATCCCGCGTTCTTTGAACACCTTCGGACCCTCGACTGCTCGGGGGTGACTCTGCGGGCTCTGCCCGAGGGCTCCCTGGCCTTTCCGGGCGTGAGTTCAGGGCGAGGGGTGGGGGCGGGGAGGGGCGCGCTGGCCGTGCTGGCCTCTGACCGTCCTTTCCCAGGTGCCCCTGCTGCAGGTGTCTGGGCCTCTCCTGCTGGTGCAGTTGCTGGAGACTCCGCTGCTCTGCCTGGTCAGCTACGCCAGGTGGGCCGGGACCGGGGCTCCCAGAGGGGAATGGGGTGTGGGGGAGGGCAAGGGGCTCCTCCAGGGGACAGGACCACGCACCACGAGGGCCTGGAGGAGGGCCCGGTGTCCAGTGGCTTCACTCTCACTCCCACAGCCTGGTGGCCACCAACGCAGCTCGGCTTCGCCTGATTGCCGGGCCCAATAAGCGGCTGATGGAGTTTGGCCTGCGCCGGGCTCAGGGCCCCGATGGCGGCCTCACAGCGTCCACCTACAGTTATCTGGGCGGTGAGGGCCTGAGGGCCAGTCCAGGGTGGGGAGGGGACAGAGGGAGGGAGGCCCTCCCTCACCGATCCCACCCGAGCTGGCCTGCCTTCCCTACAGGGTTCGACAGCAGCAGCAACACGCTGGCCGGGCAGCTGCGGGGTGTGCCAGTGGCGGGCACCCTGGCCCACTCTTTCATCACGTCGTTTTTGGGCAATGAGGTGCCCCCGGACCCGGTCAGTACCTGTTTGCAAACACCCTGTCTGTACTAGAGAAGTCTGGGACCCAGGCAGGGGGAGCTGGGCCGAGTGTGCGCAGCTGCGGCAGCTGCTCTGATCAGGTGACCAGGGGCCTGGAGGCTGGCATGGGACAGCGCTCATTGCCTTTGCCCTCGGGCCAGGGTATATTGGCCATTCCTGGGTCCCTCGTGGCTCACTCTTGAGTCTATCTTTCCCTGGCCCCATTTCACAGATGTTGGCTCCAGCTATTGGTACAGGCCCGAGGGTGGACCTGACCACCAGTGTGAAGGTGTGGCTGGAGCGTGTGTGTGCCCACCTGGGGCTGGGCATGCAGGAGCCACACCCTGGGGAGCGGGCAGCGTTCGTGGCCTATGCTCTGGCCTTTCCCCGGGCCTTCCAGGGCCTGCTGGACTCCTACAGTGTGCAGAGGTAACCGCAGGCATTCTCCCAGGGGCCCTGGCGGCAGCCGGGGTCTCTCACCCTTGTCTGGGCCTGCAGGAGCGGTCTTCCCAACTTCCTGGGCGTGGCCCTGGCCCTGGGGGAGCTGGGTTACCGGGCAGTGGGCGTGAGGCTGGACAGCGGTGACTTACTTCAGCAAGCTCAAGAGATCCGTGCCGTGTTTCGGACCACTGCCACGCGGTGAGCCCCCTCTTCCTCCGAGGGTTCCAGGCTAGAAAGCACAGGCTGAAGCCGGTAGTGGGCAGGGGCAGTGAGCCACATCGCCCTCAGCACAGCCAGGGCTTTAGGGGCCAAAGGCCAAGCCTGGAAGGAAGTGGGGGCTGAGGTGCCACCGGGGGCTCCAAAGCAAAGGGTTCGGTGTGGGGAGGGGAGGAGAGGACCAAGGCGAATCCAGAACCTCCTGTGTGCAGGTTCCAGGTGCCCTGGCTGGAGTTCATCCCTATTACTGTCAGCAACAACATTGATGAGGAGGAGCTGGCCCGACTGGCCCAGGAGGTGGTGTGGAGGGGAGGGCAGAGGGAGGGGAGAATGGAGGGGAGGTCAGAGGGAGGGGAGAAGGTAGGGGAGGGCAGAGGGGGGTAGAAGGAGGGGAGGGCAGGGAGAGGGGGGTGGAGAGCCCTGGGCCCTGAAGGTCCTGCCTGAGCTTAGTGCCCCTCCTTTCCCAGCAGGGCAGTGAGGTGGACGCCTTTGGCATTGGCACCAGCTTGGTCACCTGTCCCCGGCAGCCTTCCCTGGGCTGTGTCTACAAGGTGAGGACTGAATCTGGACCCCCGGTGGGCGGGTCTGGGGTCCGAGGCGGGGCACGGGTCCCCATCCTCCTCCTCCTCCTGCAGCTGGTGTCTGTGGGAGGCCAGCCTCGAATGAAGCTGACAGAAGAGCCTGAGAAGCAGACACTGCCTGGAAGCAAGGCTGCCTTCCGGCTCCTGGACTCTGCGGGTGAGCCCCCTCCTGGCCCTCAGCCTGCTTGAGGCTCCGGGGCTCCCCACAGTGACCCTGGCCCTCCACCTCTGCAGGCTTTCTGCTGCTGGACGTGCTGCAGTTGACAGAAGAGCCCCCGCCCCAGGCTGAGAAGGAGCTAAAGATTTGGCCTTTAGGGGCCCGAGACCCCTGCACTGTGAAGCCAGCGCGGGTGGAGCCGCTGCTGCGACGCTGGCTGCACAAGGGACAGGTGCCGCTCCGCACCTCCCGCACCTCCCGCCTCAGCTGAGCCTCAGCTCTAACCTCCTCACCTCTGCCCCCCTCTCCCGCAGCTGTGTGAGCCGCCCCCGTCCCTCGCAGAGTCCCGAGCCTTTGCCCAGTGGTCCTTGAGCCGCCTCAGCCCTGCGCACAAGCGGCTGCAGAGCCCTGCTCCATACCGGGTAGGCAGAAGACCAGCAGGTGGACCCAGCCCGTGTGCCCGGCGTGCCCGGTGTGCCCACTAACCCCAGCCTCCCTCCCTGCAGGTTGCACTGTCTGAGCAGCTGCGGGCCCTGGTGGACCGTCTGAGCGCCAGAGGGCCCCCGTGACAGTTGCAGGGTGGGGACTGGCTGGAAACAAGTCACTCACTGTCCTCACAACCTGTCATGTGTCATTTGTTCACCTGGGTCCCTGGACCTGAGTCAGGAATACAGCAAAGTAGCCAGGTTCTGGAGGGATCTAGGCTCTGACCACAGGTCCGCCCTGAGCTGGAGAAGCTGGTGGAGGAGGCCTCCCCGCCAGAGCCGGGTGGGTGGAGTAGCAGGCGTGGCCCAGGGGTGACCACTCACGCTGCACCCACCTCTCCCCTCAGCCTGTGCCAACTCTGGGTCCTGCCTGAGCAGTCTCTCCTCCTTGCCCTTTACTCTCCTGCAGCGGCGTGAGCCGCTTCTGCCTCTGCAGAGCCCAGAGCCTTTGTCTGGTGGTTCTGGAATCACTCAGACCTTTGCACCGGCAGCTGCAGACATGGGTTCCCACACCTGCTGAGGGCACTGTCCTGGGACTAGAGATGGGGGAAGGGGCGGGAGAGAGAGCGCATGCCAGTGGGTCAGCTTGAACTCAGGGCCTGGGTGCTGTCCCTGAGCTTTTTGGCTCAAGGCTAGCACTTTACCACTTGAGCCACAGCTCCACTTAAGGTTTTTAGTGGTTAAATGGAGATAAGAGTCTCATAGCTTTTCCTGCCCAGCTGGCTTTGAACCGTGGTCCTCAGATCTCAGCCTCCTGAGTAGCTGGGATGACAGGCGTGAGCCAGCAGCTAGTGAGATATAGTAAGTTTCCCAACAGCAGAATCAACATGTCCCCTGCCATTGACATTGCGAGGCCTGTGTGACCCCGGCATCTGTCACAGGTCAGCTGGGCCCTGGCCTTGGGCCTCAGCTGCTAAGCTGCTGAGTGGCCATCTAAGGGGGAGGAAGGCTGGGGCTCTGCGAGGGTTGTTCCCAACTCTGTGTAGCAAGCTAGTGACCTTGGACTCCAGAGGGACTGCTCAGGAGGGAGGCTGTAGGTGTGCCAGGCGGCAGTGGGGGCGTGGGGCCTCTACACAACCGTGTACAGTCGAGTGTGGGGGTGTCACCTGTCTGGTGTTTCCCTTCCAGAGCACTTCCGCTGCTCAGATATCCCACCAGACCAGCCTGTCCAGCTCCGCTGGTCCAGGGCTGGGCAGTGCCTGCTGTATGACTGGGTGAGGATGCGGGGTGGGGATTTAGGGCACAGGCCGGGCAGGCCAGCCTGGGGGAGGAGCCTGGAGAGATGCCCTCACCTGTGGGACAAACAATTTTGGGGGGGGGTGACACCAAGTCCCAGGAGGGCCCGCCTCTGCAGCAGGGACCCCGAGAGTGGGAGAGGCAGCACTGCCCTCAGCTCCGGGGTGCCGGGGGCACCCCGCCATGTCCCGCGCACAGACGTCCTGCTGTGCTGGAATGCAGGGAGCCAGCTCCGCCCCTGTCCACAGACGCCCTGGACCCCCAAGCAAAAGGCATCCTCTCGCTTTACTCGCTCTGGTAGGCTCACGACTGGGGCTGGCCACATGGCTCTAGCAGTGGGGCCTGAGGGCCCCAGCCCGAGCCAAGACACCTCTGTTTTCTCAGCACTCCTGACACAAGCCCATACACTCATGCACGCCAGCACCCACCCACACACGCACGCCACCACGCTGGTCCAGGGGCTCGCCCAGGGCTGGCTTCTAGGTCAGACCTGGATACTACTTCCTGGAGGAGCAGGGCAGGCGCTGGGGCCGCACCATGGCTGGGGGGGTGTGGGCCCGGGGCAGGAGCCGGGGAGCCCCTGTAGGGGCTCTAACCTTGACGGCTCTGGCTGAAGGGATCTGTGCTAGCCGCGGGCAGGCCTCTCCACCCGCTTCTACGGGCCTTCAGCCCCAGCCTGGGGAGCTTGAACCCCAGGCTGAGCTCCAGGCACAGCCACCTGCCGGCTCTGGAGATGCGGATGTAGATGCTGCTGTGGCGACCCCCACAGCAGGCAGTGAGCCTTGCTCCCCGCCCAGCGCCCAGGATCCAGCCCCTGAGGGCCCCTACCAGGTGAGCACCGGGAGCAGGTGCCGTGGGGACAGGCTGCTCACAGGGACATTAGAAAAATGAGGGGTGCCAGGGCCGGGGGAGGGGTGCCAGGGCTGGGGGAGGGACTGGAGGGGGCTGGGGGGATACCAGGGCTGGGGGAGAGGCTGGAGGGGGCTGGAGGGGACTAGTGGGGGTATATCAGGGCTGGGGGAGAGGCTAGAGGGAGCTAGTGGGGGTACCAAGGCTGGGGGAGGGGCTGGAGGGGACTGGTGGGGGTACCAGGGCTGGAGGAGGGGCTGGGGAGAGGGCCAGGGCTGGGGGGAGGGGCTGGGGGGTACCAGGGCTGGGGGAGGAGCTGGAGGGGGCTGGAGAGAGGGCCAGGGCTGGGGGGAGGGGCTGGAGGGGGCTGGTGGGGGTACCAGGGCTGGAGGAGTGGCTGGGGAGAGGGCCAGGGCTGGGGGGAGGGGCTGGAGGGGGCTGGAGAGAGGGCCAGGGCTGGGGGGAGGGGCTGGAGGGGGCTGGTGGGGGTACCAGGGCTGGAGGAGTGGCTGGGGAGAGGGCCAGGGCTGGGGGAGGGGCTGGAGGGGGCTGGAGAGAGGGCCAGGGCTGGGGGGAGGGGCTGGAGGGGGCTGGTGGGGGTACCAGGGCTGGAGGAGTGGCTGGGGAGAGGGCCAGGGCTGGGGGGAGGGGCTGGAGGGGACTAGTGGGGGGTACCAGGGCTGGGGGGGGTACCAGGGCTGGGGGGGTTGAAGGGGGCTGGTGGAGGTACCAGGGCCGGGGGAGGGGCTGGAGGGGGCTGGTGGGGTGCCAGGGCTGGAGGAGGGATGGGAGAGTCAATGGGCTGTGAGCAGAGCAGGGACTTGGGGTTTTGCTGTACGGGATGGGAAGGCAGGGGCTGGGGGAGGCAGGTTTGGGGAACCTCATACATCCCCCTACCCTGCCCTAGGCCCCCCAGGGACCCTGGGAGGAAGGAGCCCTGGCGGACCTCGCAGTCTACACGGCCGCCTGTCTGGAAGAGGCTGGCTTTGCCGGGACCCAGGCGACGGCGCTCAGCCTGACCTCAGTCCTCGAGGCTCGTGGGCAGCGACTGGAGGACCAGGTCAGCCGCTGCCTGAACCCTGAGGGTCCCGGCCGGGGGGGGGAGGGTGGGCTGCTGGCTGAGGGCCCCTTCCAGGGTGTGGGCCTGATCACTGATGTCTCCCCCTCCCCCAGGTGCATGCCCTGGTGCGCGGGCTGCTGGCACAAGTGCCCAGCCTGGCAGAGGGGAGGCCCCGGCGCGCAGCCCTGCGGGTGCTGAGTGCACTGGCCCTGGAGCACGCGCGGGACGTGGTGTGTGCACTGCTGCCGCGCTCGCTGCCCCTGGACTGGTAACCCGCACACATGCATGCCATCCCCGCTGCTGCATGCGGCCCAGCCGCTTCCTTCCCCCTTCCCGCTTGGCTGTCAGACCTCAGGCTAGGAGCCAAGGAGCCCGATCCCCTCCCCCGCCCCTCCCCGCCTCCCACCTCACTTCGGGGTTGCCATGGAGACCAGCCTGGGCAGGGCAGGGCAGCTTTGGTGTTGGATGCTTTGGGCTCTGGTTAAATGTCCTAGAAGTTATCTTCACTTTAATTCTCTACGGTGATTCCCCCCCCCCCCCCCCCATCCTGGGACTTGATCCCAGGGCTTGCTAGTTGGCCATGAGCTTTTTTGCTCAAGACTAGTGCCCTACGGCTTGAGCCGCAGCTCCATTTCTGGTGTTTTGGTTTCGGTTTCCTGGTGGCTAATTGGAGATAAGAGTTCCACAGACTTTCCTGTCCCGCCTGGCTTTGAACTGGATCCTCAGATCTCACAGGTGTGAGCCACGGGCTCCCGCTGATGTTTTTAATGCCAGTTCTCTGGCCCCACTGGGTGCAGAGTGCCTTCCACGTGGACCCTGCTCTGTATCTGCCACCGCTGCCCCTGGTTTTCTGTGACTTGGGCGAGGGAAGCTCACAGTGTGGTTTACCTGTCCTTCCTCTTGTTAGTGTGTGGGGGCGGTCTTGGCTTCTCCCCGGCCCTGCAAGTGCTGTGCCTCTTACAGGGCCTCACGCGGCCTGTGCGTCCCCTCTCTGCCCCCAGGGCGGCTGCTGAGCTGTGGCGCAGCCTAAGCCGGAATCAGCGCGTGAACGGGCCGGTGCTGGTGCAACTTCTGTGGGCGCTGAAGGGCGTGGCAGGGGCGGAGCCTGAGGCACTGGCGGTGAGTGGTGGGCGTGGCCGGGGCGGGGCGGGGCCGCCAGGGTGCCGGTGAGTCAGGCCTCAGGTTGGAGATGGCGGGCATGCGCATTAGTCGTGCACACGCGGACTCCATCCCTTCGGTGGCTGCCCGCCGCTCCGGGGCCTGACGAGGCACCAGGCACAGCTTTTTAACACCTGCCCCCAGGCCACGCGTGCCCTCGGGGAGATGCTTGCGGTGTCTGGCTGCGTGGGAGCCACGCGAGGCTTCTACCCACACCTGTTGCTGGCGCTGGTCACGCAGCTGCACGAGCTGGCCCGCGGCGCCCGCTCCCCGGACAGCCCCGGCCGCCGGGGACCGCCCCACAGCCACGCCAGGTGAGAGGCACCCCCGGCCGGCGGGGCTGCCCGGCCGGCCGCAGGGCTCTGACCCGGCGCCGCCCCTCCAGCTGCACGGTGGAGGCCCTGAAGGCCCTGCTCGCGGGGGACGGGGCCCGCATGGTGGTCACCTGCATGGAGCAGGCCGGCGGCTGGCGGAGACTGGCGGGAGCACACACCCACCTGGAGGGCGTCCTGCTGCTGGCCAGGTGAGGGCCGCGAGCCGGGAAGGCCGGGGCGGCGGGGGCCGGGAGCAGCCCTGGGCGGAGGGCGACCTCTCCCTCGCCCACCCAGCGCCATGGTCGCCCACGCGGACCACCACCTTCGCGGCCTCTTCGCGGACCTGCTGCCCCGGCTGCGAAGCCCCGACGGCGCCCAGCGGCTCACAGCCATGGCCTTCTTCACCGGGGTGAGGCCCTCTCCCGGGAGCCGAGCGAGGGGTGTCCGTGTCCGGGACGCTGCGCGGGGCCGGCCTGCGGGGATCGTCGTGCGCTGACTCGGTGTCCCCGCCAGCTGCTGCAGAGCTGGCCTACGGCGCGGCTCCTGCGGGCCGACCTCGTCCTGGAGCGGCTTCGCGCGTGGCAGGGGGGACCCGGAGCCCACCGTGCGCTGGCTGGGCCTGCTGGGCCTGGGCCACTTCGCCCTCAACCGCGGGAAGGTGTGGAGGGGGGGGGAGGGGGCGGGGGCGGAGAGGGGTGGGGACGGGGCGGAGAGGGGCGGGGACAGAGCGGAGAGGGGCGGGGCGGGGTGGAGAGGGGCGGGGGCGGGACGGTGAGGGGCGGGGACAGAGCGGAGAGGGGCGGGGCGGGGCGGAGAGGGGTGGGGACGGGGCGGAGAGGGGCGGGGACAGAGCGGAGAGGGGCGGGGCGGGGCGGAGAGGGGCGGGGGCGGGACGGTGAGGGGCGGGGACAGAGCGGAGAGGGGCGGGGCGGGGCGGAGAGGGGTGGGGACGGGGCGGAGAGGGGCGGGGCGGAGAGGGGCGGGGGCGGGGCGGTGAGGGGTGGGGCGGGGCGGAGAGGGCGGGGCCGAGAGGGCGGGGCCGAGAGGGCGGGGCTGGGTCAGCCAGGAGCGGCTGCAAGTCCCTGTCCCCACAGGTGCGGCACCTGAGCGCCCTGCTGCCAGCGCTGCTGGGCGCCCTGGGCGAGGGCGACGCCCGGCTGGTGGGCGCCGCGCTGGGGGCCCTGCGGAGGGTCCTGCTGCAGCCGCGGGCGCCCGTGCGGCTGCTGAGCACCGAGCTGAGGCCGCGGCTCCCGCCGCTGCTGGATGACGTGAGCAGCTGCCCTAACCCCCCGTGCCCCTCCCCCCATGCTCCTTCCCCTCCCCCGTCTTGCTGCCCCCCCCCCGTCCTCCTGCCCCATCCTCCTGCCCCATCCTCCTGCCCCATCCTCCTGCCCCCTCCTCCTGCTCCATCCTCCTGCCCCCCATCCTCCTGCCCCCCATCCTCCTGCCCCCCATCCTCCTGCCCTCCCATCCTCCTGCCCCTGTCCTGCTTCCCCATCCTCCTGCCCCCCATCCTCCTGCCCCATCCTCCTGCCCCCCATCCTCCTGCCCCCGTCCTCCCGCCCCGTCCTCCTGCCCCATCCTCCTGCTCCCGTCCTCCTGCCCGGTCCTCCTGCCCGGTCCTCCTGCCCCATCCTCCTGCCCCATCCTCCTGCCCCCTCTTCCTGCTCCATCCTCCTGCCCCTTGCTGCCTCTGGGGAGCTGGTCTTTAGGCGCCCTGTCCCCCTCTGAGCTCTCCCCAGGCTTCTCCGCCTGGTGGGGTCTGGGCTCTATCCTCTCGCGGCCTTGCCCCCCCCCCCCTGGCCGTCCTGCCCAGGTGTGCACCTCCCACTGCGCCACACCGCCTGGTCGTGCCCTCCTTCCCGCAGGCCAGGGACGCGGTCCGCGCCTCGGCGGCCGGGCTCCTGGGCACCCTGGTGCGGCGGGGCCGGGGCGGGCTCCGGCTGGGCCTCCGGGGTCCCCTGCGGAAACTGGTGCTGCAGAGTCTGGTGCCGCTGCTGCTGCGCCTCCACGACCCGAGCCGGGACACTGCTGAGGTCAGCGTCCTGGGACCCTTCCGTCCTACCACACGGCCCCGCCCCTCCGTCCTACCCCACTCGGCCCCGCCCCTCCGTCCTACCCCACTCGGCCCCGCCCCTCCGTCCTACCCCACTCGGCCCCGCCCCTCCGTCCTACCCCACACGGCCCCGCCCCTCCGTCCTACCCTACACGGCCCCGCCCCTCCATCCTACCCCACTCGGCCCTGCCCCTCCGTCCTACCCCACTCGGCCCCGCCCCTCCGTCCTATCCTACACGGCCCCGCCCCTCCGTCCTACCCTACACGGCCCCGCCCCTCCGTCCTACCCCACTCGGCCCCGCCCCTCCATCCTACCCACACGGCCCCGCCCCTTCGTCCTATCCCACACGGCCCCGCCTCACACGGCCCTGCCCCTCCGTCCTACCCCACACGGCCCCGCCCCTCCACCCTACCCCACACGTCCCCGCCCCTCCGTCCTACCCCACACGGCCTCGCCCCTCCATCCTACCCACACGGCCCCGCCCCTCCGTCCTACCCCACACGGCCCCGCCCCTCCATCCTACCCACACGGCCCCGCCCCTCCGTCCTACCCCACACGGCCCCGCCCCTCCATTCTACCCCACACGGCCCCGCCCCTCCGTCCTACCACACGGCCCCGCCCCTCCATCCTACCCCACTCGGCCCTGCCCCTCCGTCCTACCCCACTCGGCCCCGCCCCTCCGTCCTACCCTACACGGCCCCGCCCCTCCGTCCTACCCCACACGGCCCCGCCCCTCCGTCCTACCCCACACGGCCCCGCCCCTCCGTCCTACCCCACTCGGCCCCGCCCCTCCGTCCTATCCCACACGGCCCCGCCCCTCCGTCCTACCCTACACGGCCCCGCCCCTCCGTCCTACCCCACACGGCCCCGCCCCTCCATCCTACCCACACGGCCCCGCCCCTCCGTCCTACCCCACACGGCCCCGCCCCTCCATCCTACCCACACGGCCCCGCCCCTCCGTCCTACCCCACACGGCCCCGCCCCTCCATCCTACCCCACACGGCCCCGCCCCTCCGTCCTATCCCACTCGGCCCCGCCTCTCCATCCTACCCACACGGCCCCGCCCCTCCGTCCTACCCCACACGGCCCCGCCCCTCCATCCTACCCACACGGCCCCGCCCCTCCGTCCTACCCCACACGGCCCCGCCCCTCCGTCCTACCCCACACGGCCCCGCCCCTCCGTCCTATCCCACTCGGCCCCGCCCCTCCGTCCTATCCCACACGGCCCCGCCCTGCCCACGGACCGCTTGGGCTCCCAGGTCCCTGATGCTCCCTTGGGCTGCTGTACACATCCCGGCCTGGGCTGTCTGGTCCTCCCGACCCCAGCCCCCTGCCCCATCATCACTTGCCACTTCCTGTCCCCCTCACTGTCCTCCCTTCTCCGTGCCAGAGCTCAGAGTGGACCCTGGCCCGCTGTGACCAGGCGCTCGGGTGGGGCCTGCTGGAGGAGGTGGTCACCGTGGCCCACTACGACAGCCCCGAGGCTCTGGGCCGCGTCTGCCACCGCCTGGTGAGCGAAGTGGGTGGAGGGGGGGCAGTGGGCTCCCTCCCCCACACCGAGCCTCCCGGTTGGCCGAACCTGTCACATTCCCTGCAGGCAGGTCCCCCCTGCAGCCCGCCTCCCCCCCCCCTCCAGTCCACCTTTCCACCTAGCATTGGCCCTCCTGTCTCCAGGTCCAGCGGTACCCCAGCCACGTGCCCCGCTTTCTGAGCCAAACCCAGGGCTACCTGCGAAGTCCGCAGGGCCCGCTGCGCCGGGCAGCTGCCATGCTCATAGGTGAGGCGGGCCTCGAGTTACCCTCCTGGTGGGAACTGGCCTGGTCCCTCCCAGTGGGGGCCTGGACCCAAGCTCAGCAGAATTCCCCCCCCCCCACCCCATTTGCCTTGGCCAGGCTTCCTCGTCTATTATGCCAGCCCCCGTGGAGTCCATGGGGATCTGCTGGACTCTCTGTTTCAGGGTAAGGACCAGACCTGCTGGAGTTTGGGGTCTTGGGGCAGAGTGGGTGGTGGACAAGGGGGGGTGTCCAGGGCGGGTGGATGGAGCAGGGTGTCCAGGGCACCCTCCCACCCTGTCTGAGCCGCCTCTCCCTGAAGACCTAGGGCAGCTGCAAAGGGACCCGGAGCCCGCAGTGGCCACAGCGGCTCAGGTGTCCGCCCAGCAGGTGGCGCTGCTGGCCCGGGCGCAGGGACGCACACACAGGCCCTGCCTCCTCCGCCTCTTGAAGCGGAGTCCGGGCCCAGCCCACCCCATGCCGCTCTACGCCGACAGTCCCTTCCAGCGACGGAGTCTGGCCGGCCGCTGGAGCTGCCCCCAGCCCCGCTGAACCTGGTGCCGTGACCAAACTCAAGTCATGGCTGGGGCTGTCGGCCCCCACGGATGCTATTTTCGGTGCCCACAGTGAACCTGCGGAAGAGGGGGACCCCCGAGGGCAGTCTGTGCCTGTGCCTGCTGCTGGACGCTGGCGCTTCTCGCTTGACCCCCCCTCCACAGGCCCCCACAGGGCGTGGCAGAGGGGCAGCCAGCTCCATTTCCCCTCGAGTTCGTCCTCTTGTCCCCTGCCAGGCGTGTCTCGTACCCTGGCTCGGGCCAGACCTGCTTGGACAGCGTCCATCTTCCAAACAGCTGTGGTGTGGCCCTGGGGAAGTTGGCGCTGCTCTGGGCTGCCTGACCCTCGCTGGGCCTCAGCCTCCCGCCTGGCCCGGTCCTCCCGTGACCTCCTTTCTGACCACACCGTCACCCACCACCCGCTCCTCCTCCGACAGCTGTCCTGCACTGGACCTCTGTGTGTGGGGGGCTCTTTCCTGCCCTTGCCTTCCATCCCCACTAACCCCATCCTCCCCTGCTGGTCACGCACGGACCACAGCCTTCTCTGAAGGCTGCCTGCCCCACAGCCCGGGCCACCTGAGCTGAGGCACAGAGCAAGCAGTCCACCCCACCACCACCCAGTGCACCGTGCAGGGCAGAGTCGGGATGGATGCCCTGTAGAGTCGGGACAGATGGGCAGGAAGAGGCCCCCGTGGGCTGCCAAAGCCCTCAGCTCAGCCCTGCGGGTCACTGCCTAGAATGACTGCCCGGACACGCCCTCCCGCCCGCCCTCCTCCCAGCCTCCCACGCACACCGAAGCGTAGGGGCTGTGGGCCACACTGGGGCTCTGTGGGCACAGGAATGGGGTGCTTGGGCCAGGTACCTGACTACGCTTAGGCCGGCTGGGCTGGGATAACAAGTGGGTAGCAGGGTAACGGGCGGTGTGGAGGCCGCATTGAAGGCCAGGCGGCCCCCACGCTGGAGTGAGACAGGGGGGGAGGTACAGGAGGCACCGTGGACATGCGCGCTGCCCTTCAGCTCTCCAACTGCCCCCCTGTCCAAGGCACCCACAGACAGGACACCATCCAGCGCCTCCCCGAGGAGTATTTTCCCAAGAGAGAAGCAGCTTGTCTCCTCCTCTCAGTCCAGGGGTGAGCAAGGGAAGCCTCCTCTCCCACCAAGCACGGCTCCACTGCACCCCAGAGCAGCTGAATTGTCCAGTGGGGGCGCCCGGGGTGCTACAGGGCCTGCTACTCCTGACCGGTGCTGGTGTGGGAAGGAGGCGGCCCTGCCACCCCGCCTCCGCACTGCTTGGGAGCAGCACACTCTGTCTTCTGCAGCTGTGCAGAGCCGGGATGCGTGTTGCCCTATGGACCTGCCGCCACAGATAGCAGTCTGCCCTGTCGGCACTGGCCTTGGCCATGCCTCTGGCTGCCAGCCAGGGTGTGAGGTATTCTGCACTGGAATTCCAGACGAGTGGCAGGTGGTGCTGAGGCCGGGCCCCTCCACAGGAGAGCCAGGGCTGCGGCCTCCAGGCCTTCCTTGTAGGAGGTGCTGTGGTCACACCCTGCTGGTGTTCCCTTCTCCACGTAGGTCCTGCCAGGGAGCCAGCTGGCCTTCCTCCGGCTTCCAATAATCTAACATGGGCTCTGTCCCCCAGGGACCTCACTGGGGGTACCAGATCTGACGACCAACAGGTAGACCTTCCAGCAGGACCTGTCTGTAGCCTCGTGCTGCGGGTCTCGGCCCCAGACCCTGAGCAGCGGTGCCTGCTCACACAGTGCTTCCTGGGACCTGGCTGTTCCCTTCCATCCCACTCAGCCAGGTTTTGCTCTTAAGTCACAGGAAGTGTTTACAGAGAATTGTGGGTCTAAAATGTATTGACCTTCCTCACTATGTGAAGAGGCGAAGGTCTAGAAGGGTGCTCTTCCTCCTCTTCTTCATGTTGGCCCTGGGGCTTGAACTCAGGGCCTGGGTGCTGTCCTTGAGAGTTTTTGCTCAAAACCTGTTTTCTACCACTTGAGCCACAGCTCTACTTCCAGCTTTGTTGTTGTTGCTGCTGTTATTTATTGGAAATCAGAATTTCACAGACCCTCCCGCCTGGACTAGCTTTGAATTGTGGTCCTCAGATCTCGGGCTCCTGGGCAGCGAGGGTGACAGCCGTGAGCCACCCGCGCTCGGGCAGGGCCTTTGCTTCTGCCATCCCTTTTCCTAGCGTGTCTGGCAAGCTGCATATCCGGGTTGTACCCAGACAGCAGGGGGCGCTACTGCTCCCGCCACCTCCCGCCAAGCTGCGTGAGGCTGAGCTGCTCCGTGCAGGCGTACTAGGTCACCACAAAATAAAGACATCCTTCTCCTGTTGCGTCTTCTCTGCGCGGTTTGGGCATCCAGAGCACACTGGCCCATCACGACGCACGCCTCGCTCTGGACACGGGTTCCTGGGCGGCTGGACTCACCTGTGCTCTCACACCCGTTGGTTCCCAGGACCTGCCAGTGGGGGGGCAGGGCCCCTGCTCGGTGTTTGGGAACAGGCCCAGAGGCCTGCAGGCGCAGGGAGGCCCAGCTTGCCTCTCAAGGGCCACCATGGGGCCTGCGTGCTCCGAGCCTGCCAGCCACATTTAAGCACGCGCTGTGGGCAGGGGTGGCCTGCTCCCTCGGTGCACACCTGAGCCTGGTTGGGACTCATCCCCTATGCTGCTCTGTCTTTCTTAGACAGGGGGTGCAGGCCAGGCCCCAGCTCACACCAGCTCCCCTAGGCCTCAGGACCCGAGAGTGAGCAGCATGGACAGATGCCGGCTCTTGGTCCCATGTCTTTCCTGTTCCTGGGGGCACAGTCCCCCCTCTACCCTACCCCAGAGGCAGAGAACCCCTCAACACCTCAGCCGCCATTCTTTCCTTTGTATATCACATTTATTTTGTGTCTTCAGCTCCTGGCCTCATGGTGAACTGGCCCTGTGGTTGGCCAGACTCCGGCCTTCCTGGACTGGCAGAGTGCCGGGCATGCAGCTAGCACGGCTTCGGGCTCAGTCTCGACAGCAGTGCCAGGGAGGCGTAGAGGGCGCAGGCACGGCCCTGGGCCTGCGGCTCCCAGCGCACCTGAGGCGCGGGGACCTGCAGCGCCAGGCCGCACTCCTCCAGCAAGGCCCAGGCGGGTGCCTCCTCCCCCCAGCCCCTCCCGAGGAGGTCCGGGGGCAGGCTGACCACGCCTGGCATGTGCCACGGGGCACTCTGCTCCAGGACCTGCTCCACCTGCGGGGACAGGGTGTGGGTCACAGCCCGCCCTCCCCAAAGGCGCCCGGCCTGTCCAGTCCCCGCTGCGCCCCCTCACCAGCCGAAGCTGCTCCGGAAGGGTGTCCGTCTCCAGCGCCTCGGCCAGCAGCTGGTGCTGGCTCTCACTCAGCACTGCGGAGGGACAGGGTTCTGGAAAGCCCTGCAGGGAAGCACTGCGCCCCACCAGTCCCACACTGGCCCCCGGGGTCTCACCCATCAGAGCCCCGAGCAGGTAGAAGATGGGGGTGGCGAGTTCCTGTGCCAGCACTCGGGAGGGGAGTACCAGGTACTCCAGGATAGCACCTGCGGGGCCTTCCAGAGGCTCCACCTGCCCGCCGCAGCACAGGCCCTGGTCCAGCTGGGGTAAGGACGGGGTGAGCCCCGGCTGCCCGGCGGGCGCGGTGCACCGCTGGCTGTGCAGCACTCAGCACCCACCGAGGCCTCCAAGGCCTGTGCAGCACTCAGCACCCACCGAGGCCTCCAAGGCCTGTGCAGCACTCAGCACCCAGCACCCACCGAGGCCTCCAAGGCCTGTGCAGCACTCAGCACCCAGCACCCACCGAGGCCTCCAAGGCCTGTGCAGCACTCAGCACCCAGCACCCACCGAGGCCTCCAAGGCCTGTGCAGCACTCAGCACCCAGCACCCACCGAGGCCTCCAAGGCCTGTGCAGCACTCAGCACCCAGCACCCACTGAGGCCTCCAAGGCCTGTGCAGCACTCAGCACTCAGCACCCACCGAGGCCTCCAAGGCCTGCAGCGCTGGCTCATCCCGCAGGACCGCGCCCAGAGGCCCCAGCAGCTGCCGCTTCAGCTCGGCCTCCATGTGCTGCAGCTCCTCCGAGACAGCCTCCACCTCTGCCTGGAGACCCTGCAAGTCCTCAGTGACCACCCAGTCTTCAGGACACCCATCTGTGGGGACAGAGGACTGGCACTGCCTGGAGCACACAGGCCCCAGCCAGGAAGGGTCTGGAAAGATGAGAAAAGCCCGTGGGTGTTATGAGGGCACTGACCTGTCATGAGTCTGAAGGGGTTGCAGAAGGACATTAGCATGGTGGACAGGCGGCGGGCCCCAGCTTGGCCTGGGCAGCGGTGAGGAGGGGGGGAGGGAGGGCAGGAAGAGGGCTGAGGCGGCAGGAAGCCCGGCAGGCTGTGTGCCACCTGACCATTGCCTCTCTGTGCGTGTACATGGTGCCCACGCCTCAGGACGCTCCCTGGCCACCTGTGCGCTGAGTCCAGGAGAAGGCCTGGCCAAAAGAGCATGCTCCTCCTCCCGCCCGAGGGCCAGGCTGGGCCTCATCCTCACCTGTGGAGGGTGGTGGGAAGGTCGTCTTCCTCTCATCTGGGAAGAGGAGGATGTCTGACAGCAAGTAGGAGCAGATGGGGAGAGGCAGGTCACCCCCAAACCAGGTGAGGGCCTTCCCCAATCACCTATATGCCAGAGTCTGGAACATTCCACCACCCACCCATGCCCAGAGGTTGTACAGCCCCCCCCCCCAGCAGAGCCTGGCCAGTCACAGGCCTACTCAGGCCACAAAATCTGGGCCCCAGAGACATCTCTGGTGCCCCCCATCCTGTCCTGCTCACCCCAGAGCTACTGACCAGTGCCCACCCCCGTCCTGCCGTCCTGCTCACCCCAGTCATGGGTAATGACCAGCTGGGCCACTCGGAAGGCAAGGATGCTTTCTGCAGGGATGGACACCGTGTTCTTCTGGCTCAGGTGGCCCTGTCCCTCACCCTGAGAGATGGATGTGGGC